AACCAGGCATAAGAACCAGGGTTAAGAACCATGTGTTGATATAAAACACCTAGCAGGCACTCAGAAATGGTAGTTGTTCTTACTATTACTAGATATTCTCTTTTATACACGTGGGATTCAATAAATACGATCATGCAATCTTCAGCGTTGAAAGAGGTCTTGTCTAGCAAAACCTCCCACCCCACACAGGTCATATTGACACATCCACAATATCTAGCCCAGAACTGTCAGAAAAGCATCTAGTGTGTTGGCCAGGGCTAAGAGCATTGGCTACAGAGTCAGTCTGACTGGTTTAAATCTTGGCTCATCCTCTTCTTGGCTGTGAGGTGTTAACCAAGTATTTAACCTCTGTGTGCCTCAATATTCCCATCTTTAAAATTCAGTACCTCATTGCATAAGGTTGTCCTGAGATGTCAGTGGTGATTCAATACAGTAAAGTTCTAAGAATGGTAGATATAGGCATTCAGTATGTAAAATGGGTGGAGAGATGAAGGAAGGTATTAATACATTCCTGAAAAAACGAACAAATGAAGGAACACTTCAAGAGATGGTCAATCAGCTTCAATTTAAATATTTCAGGTGAGCACATTCCGTTAATGCTCAGCTCTAGTTCTTAGTACATTTTATATTAATCTGAAATCTGCCTCCTTGCAACTTGGATCCATTTGGCCTTCGGAACAAACTTACAGCCATTCAAATAACTGTAGCTGACTCTCATTTCTCCCCAGTTCTCTTTTCCCAGTGAAAGGATCCCAACTCTTTCAATTATTCCTCAATGACATGTTTCCAGCTTTTTTCACCACCCTGATAGCTAAAGAAGTAAATTCCCAATTTATTCATATTCCCAATTGCGTCATATATCCTGTCCAATTTCGTACCTCCTTTGTAGGATCTGGACACTTTCTAGAAGAGAGGAACTATCACATCACCTGCTGGGGACATTCACTTTGTTTCTTTAAGACCGTCTAAGATTGCATTATCTTGGGCAGGGGCAGACAGGTTTATCATATACCAACTCATCACAATCAATGTGTAACCAACTAGAATGACTTAACCTTATTTGTATGTTCGAAATCATGCCCTATCTTAACAACTCAACTAGCTAGATTTGAGAGTCTATTTGCAGAACTATCATAAATCTCTTTTCATTAGATTCAGCCTTTTTGGTCCAGCCTATAGCCAATTCTTTTAACCAACTCATTAGAACTGTCCAGTTTTGAGTTGTGAAAGTTATCAGAATCAGAATGGAGTCACTGGTGTTAAAAAAAAAACCCTGACAAATAGAGCAGAGGAAGGCTATGAAGAGAGGGTTTTCATGCTTGTGTATGCCTGATGACAAAACTATGCCAAAAGACTGCAAAAAACACAATCTTGTACAAAGGCCATCACAACCTTATACAAAAAAATACTTCTACAAGGAGTAGAACTGCCCAGAACTGCCTGTCCAACCTTGGGCAGGCATCACCCTTTGTTGCTGATTTTTGTTGCCAGGGATAATTATTTCAAAACAATTATGCAGTCCTCCTCATTTTTCCTTTAAAAGCCTTTGCCTTCCTTTACCTCCCTGAACACGCACGCAGTTTACCATGGCATGCATATTCGCATTGCAGTGCCCTACTCCTGCATAAACATCATTTTCTTTTAGAGAGCCTTTCTCTATTTGTTATTTAGGTTGACAGTGTGAACCCTAAGGAAGAGTGAAGAAAAAAAAAAAGAAAATAACAGCACCCATTGATACAGAGGAGTATGTTGCCAGAAGGCGGCCGGCTGGAAGCCAGACAGAGTGTTCCCCAAGGAGCATTACTCTGGTTCATTCACCAGAGTCCAGGGTCTGGTCCTCACTCTCACAAGCTCACACACTCAATCCCAGCAGTGTGCCAGAGCTGGTCATGTTAAGATTCAAAGTAAGAACAGACTCTCAGGTTTTTTTTTAATTTTTATTTCA